ACAGTGGATTCACGTTTATTATTATATTTACAATATAAACAATCTACGTACACACCCGACCCCTCCCCGGGCCGCGGTAAAATTGTCACGCGTTGACCGGTCCGCAGTGATAAAAAGGTTGGGGACCACTGCACTACATTACTTAGGTTTAAGTATTTCCAGAACTATTTGTGTCAGTACTCCCAGTTGAGAGTTTGAGCCACATTTCATGGATAACTGGCTAAAGTATTATGTGTATCCTGGTCAAAGAGAACAGAGAAGATGGATGAAAGTGGAGAAACAGGGAAAATCACAGACAGAGGCTGACTCACTGTGTCTCTCACCTGTCTGTATCGTACGTTGAAGTACAGCAGAGGAGTCTCACTGTCATTAATCTGTTTGAGCAGGACAGAGAAGGAGTTGCCTTCTATTTTCATCTTACCAGATAACAAAAGTGGACTGTCAGGTTCACCTACAGACAAGAAGCAGACAGAAAGAAAAGAACTGATGACCATGCATAAACATTTAATAGTTGTGAATGATAATTAACACCAACTCATTGGATTTACTTCTATTTGCTATGTATAGACAACATACAGATTGACTGAAAATGTCACTTTATTGTTTCTTAGTTGACTAAATCACTGTGTGCACTTTACCTCCTGAGCATGGATGATAATGGATTACATCAGCAGAATGAACGAACATCAGGCAGCAGATGATAATGTCATGGGAATGTTATCATGATGGTTGATGAGAGAGATAAACAGGAATAATTAGTGACAGCAGATGGGGGAGCGTAAACCTTGCTTGTTATACATACAGCACATATCACCTGCACACTAGCATGCCTATTGTACATTGTACATCAATAAATATACATCCATACAAATGTGTAAACATGAAAACACACACCCTGCTTATGCAATTCATGCACCACACATATGGCATAAAATAGATTTGGTGTGTGTAGCACTTACTATTCCCTGGGTGTGAATGCTGCTTGTGTGTGAGAATGGCCCCAGTCCCACTGCATTAAGGGCGGCCAAATCCACTGTGTACAATATGTATGGCTTGAGGGATGAGATAACTAGCAGCTCTACAAAAGCACACACACAAAAGACATGGCCTCAAGCACTGTGCATACAGTAATTTAGCAGTATGATTTATGTCAGAATGAAATTTAAAATGTAAGCAGCTTAAAATATAAATGATTCTCAAGCTGATTTTCTTTTGAAAACATCTGGAGTTCTACCTGAAACTGGTACTGTGACCTCCTCCCACTGTTCTTCTGCACTTTGCCTCCACTGCAGAACAAAACTTGTGATTGGTGTTCCTCCACTGATGGGCGGGGTTTTGAGGGAGAAGAGGACTGAGGTCGGGCCAGGTGAGACTGACAGGTAGTGAGGTGAACTGGGCTGGGCTGTGAGTGGAGAGGCAGGCAAAAACAAATGTTACAGACTGGTATAGGAACATGTGTCAAAGGTGGTTATAAGTAAAGATGGTTACAGCTACTTTTCCTTCACTTAACTCACTCTTCTGTAGTATAAAGACAGACATGAACTCTTACTGTGTACTGCAGCATCTCTTGATGCATTTCCAGAAATGCTGACAGCCATGCAGGAATACAGTCCACCATCAGAGGGCACTACCTCGTCTATCAGCAGCACACCATCAACACCACCAACTTGAGCGGATGCGGAGTCCTGACAGAGCAAATAAAATAATAATAATAATTATAATAACTTTAATCACACAATTTCTGCTGTAAATGCAAACATTCACTGTTTGGAACAACACAGTAAATTTGTGAGTCACAGTTACAAGAGGCTGACGGGAGTGTTGTTTGTTGAGCCATAGATTACAGCTACTGCACAACCACATTAACCCTGCATGGCAAAGAGGTGCATAATTTAAAATGTTTTGCAGCATGAAGGCCAGTTTGTGTAGTTGTATGTGTGCGTTTATTGGTCCGTACACTCTTGCCGGTGTGTGTCTACTATGCTTGCTGAGCTAGTGTAGCTCAGGCTGAGGATGGCAAGAGACATTGCAGGTCACAGATACATGCTCACCCACTGATACACTTTGCTGCTCTGCTGACACAAACACCTCTGGAGCCTCTGAAATTAAACATCTTGATTATTATGAAAGTCATCACCTACACAAAATAAAAAAAAAAAAAAAAAGTTCAGCAGCACTTTAACAAAGGTCACTCTAGTGCAGCAGCATAAAGAAACATGGTAGTGAACCAACCAAAGACATGGAGCTTGATGGCAGCACTTTCCTTAGCTATCTTGTTTGTGGCGATGCAGACATACAGTTGGTATGGAAAGTATTCAGACCCCCTTAAATTTTTCACTCTTTGTTATATTGCAGCCATATGCTAAAATCATTTAAGTTCATTTTTTCCCTCATTAATGTACACACAGCACCCCATATTGACAGAAAAACAGAATTTTTGACATTATTGCAGATCTATTAAAAAAGAAAAACTGAAATATCACATGGTCATAAGTATTCAGACCCTTTGCTGTGACACTCATATATTTAACTTAGGTGCTGTCCATTTCTTCTGATCATCCCTGAGATGGTTCTACACCTTCATTTGAGTCCAGCTGTGTTTGATTATACTGATTGGACGTGATTAGGAAAGCCACACACCTGTCTATATAAGACCCTACAGCTCACAGTGCACGTCAGAGCAAATGAGAATCATGAGGTCAAAGGAACTGCCTGAAGAGCTCACAGACAGAATTGTGGCAAGGCACAGATCTGGCCAAGGTTACAAAAAAAAATTTCTGCTGCACTTAAGGTTCCTAAGAGCACGAGAGGCAGGCAAAAACAAATGTTACAGACTGGTATAGGAACATGTGTCAAAGGTGGTTATAAGTAAAGATGGTTACAGCTACTTTTCCTTCACTTAACTCACTCTTCTGTAGTATAAAGACAGACATGAACTCTTACTGTGTATTGCAGCATCTCTTGATGCATTTCCAGAAATGCTGACAGCCATGCAGGAATACAGTCCACCATCAGAGGGCACTACCTCGTCTATCAGCAGCACACCATCAACACCACCAACTTGAGCGGATGCGGAGTCCTGACAGAGCAAATAAAATAATAATAATAATTATAATAACTTTAATCACACAATTTCTGCTGTAAATGCAAACATTCACTGTTTGGAACAACACAGTAAATTTGTCAGTCACAGTTACAAGAGGCTGACTGGAGTGTTGTTTGTTGAGCCATAGATTACAGCTACTGCACAACCACATTAACCCTGCATGGCAAAGAGGTGCATAATTTAAAATGTTTTGCAGCATGAAGGCCAGTTTGTGTAGTTGTATGTGTGCGTTTATTGGTCCGTACACTCTTGCCGGTGTGTGTCTACTATGCTTGCTGAGCTAGTGTAGCTCAGGCTGAGGATGGCAAGAGACATTGCAGGTCACAGATACATGCTCACCCACTGATACACTTTGCTGCTCTGCTGACACAAACACCTCTGGAGCCTCTGAAATTAAACATCTTGATTATTATGAAAGTCAGCACCCCCACCAAAAAAAAAAAAAAAAAAAAAAGTTCAGCAGCACTTTCACAAAGGTCACTCTAGTGCAGCAGCATAAAGTAACATGGTAGTGAACCAACCAAAGACATGGAGCTTGATGGCAGCACTTTCCTTAGCTATCTTGTTTGTGGCGATGCAGACATACAGTTGGTATGGAAAGTATTCAGA